TTCTATGCTGAAGGCTATATATTAAATAAGAACACAATACTAATTAAACAAATGCCGTGGAAGGTTTATGAAATAATAAATAATCCTATACTATTGTGAACTATCATACAGGCCTTTGAATAATTTTAACCAATTACAAATTTCAATAATACGTACCATAGAAATCACCGCTATTTTTATCATAATATTGCTCAAATAAAAAAAAGGAAAGCCCCCCCCCCCACTCCAGTGGCACAGCGGTTTGTCTGCGGAATTACAATGCTAGAAATTGGGTTTCGATACCTGTGGTGGGCAGAGCACAGATAGCCCGTTGTGTAGCTTTGTGCTAAATTACAAACAAACAAAGAAAAAAGAAAACAGATTGTAAGAGAGGTCGAGAGGAGATGAGAAATGGTACAAAGTTGTTCTTAGCTATATTCTGGAAAGCAATCTTATATATATATATACATTATGTGATTTTAAAACTTATTTCCCTATACGTATCGTATCAGACATTCTATTTATACAGCGACAGTTTTTCTTATCAGGTTTCATTAAGCTTCTATAACACAAATTGATTTTCTGAGTTAATTTAGCTCTGGATGGCTTCCAATATTTCTTTAGAAACTTAAGAAAGTATTCTCCAAATCCTATGTTAAAAATCAAGTAGCAAAATGCATGTAAGATATACATATACTTAAAAAACAATAAAACAAGAATACTAAAAGGTTTTGTTGGCGCTCTTAGGTCGCAAGATTATCCTGCTCTTGAGCGGCGGTGACGTTTATGTTCCACCCTCCGGGATTTCTGGGTGTCATATCCGGTCCTACGTCTCTATCTGTACTAACTACTTCTTACACAATGAAACATTCATGCATGTTTGTGCTAAGAAAAATAGACCAATTTCTTATGGAAACTGCCGTATGAGAGTAGAGGTTATCGAAAAGTTGAAACATATTAGAAACTGACTTGCAGTGACAAGTATTAATCATTTTCATTCATAACTTTTAGTGAAACACTATCCGTCTGATATGTCATTATATATGATGATGTAGCTGAAACTACGAGCTTCTGTCAAGCCTAGAGAAGATCAACGAGATGATGGTATGTGAATGATCTTACATGAGGGATATAATGTTCAGAAAATGATCTTACGTAAGGGGTATAATGTTCAGAACGTAGCAACGTAATCAATAGCGTAAAGTCAAATGTTGTAAACGACAAAGTGAGCGTTGAGCAGTTTGTTCTCCATCTGTGTGTTTCTTTGTGTTAAAAACTTTAAAAGGGATAATATGATAAGCTTCTCCGTGTTGCTCTTCCGAACGGAAACGAAAGCAGATTGGAAGATTTTTTTATTTTGTTTTATGACAAAGGCCGTCATAAATCTATGAAAAGTTTATCATTCTGTCATAATCCTAACCACGTAGCCTACAAAGGAAGCTGGTAAACGCTTCCTGTGACATTTAGTATTCAATGAAACTGCTGATCTGTTGAGAAGACGCTTCTCCTGTCCAGCGGAGCTTCAAACAATGCTCGAGGAAACAGACGAGATTCCCTGCAAAACTTGTAGTGTTTCATACGTGATATGATGTGAGTGTGCATTTTGTTTTTGTCTTCTAAAGTTTATGTTCTAAACGTGCACAAGCGCTATTTTACAGTCGGCATCCCGCTGCTGCCAAAATGTAGAATGAAATATAAGCACAACATATTGAGTTACTACTTAGTATAAAGTAAAGAACTGAATTGTTCTGAGAATATAACCTGATAAATTCAAATAAATACGAAATCCTGAGAATCGAGCATAAATACAAATGTAAATATATATTTTTTCAGTATAGAATTGACTGGTACTCTAAATTGTAAAAATTATTTTAGAAATAATTACAAGAGCATCAAAATCAAGTGAACTTCATAACTTTATCATATTGTACTTCAGAACGTGGAAAGTATTTCCCAGACTTGTAACAGAGTAATCCGCGCGAACACGCAAACGATACGGCGGTTGACTGAACAAGTCGGGCCCGGCACAGATAACGCATTCCTATCACCTTCTTTTATTGTTCTTATGTTTGCTATCGTTTTTATCGCTGACAGTCTGGATCATTGAAGACCTGGCACACTTTACGGTCCTTTGAAATAATTTTAACTCTTTTTTATCTTTACGAAACAAAGGAACAGAAGAGGAATACATTTCACTGTATCATTCTTACACAGAAATCAAATGGCTCACTTCATTAGTACGATGGTAATTTTAAATATTTAGGGATTTATATCTCATTGTTATCGGGAATAATGCTGTGTTTAATGCTATGTGTGAATTCATAACAAACGTCTTCACTTTCAAGGAAATATTATCCAAATTATTCCCGACTTTTGGAACTATATAATAATATAAAAAATTCTGGTATGCTTTTGCAATCTGAGAGAAAAGTTTAAAATAATTATTTACTTATAAATATATACAAGGCGAAGGAAACGTCAAGAAAAGACTCACCATAATTTCATAATATTGGAAGAAAAAAACGTTTTAGCCAATGAAGAATGTTAAATAGTACAACAGTGCCTGAGTGTTATACATATATGTTTTACACAATACACGCTTACCATACTGAAGCATCACATTCTATTAAGTTACCATGTTAGAACGTACATTGAAAAGAATGTGATGGCAATAGTATTTCTTTTTTATATTACCGAGATGTCTACAAATATTGGGGCTTAAACCAGCCAGCTGCTAATCACAATTAAATTTATTGAGGTTTGTACTTCTCGAGTTTTAGGATTTAAAACAAAACAATCAAATAATTAAATGATCATTTTAAATATACACAGATATTATTCATTTCTTATCCCTACTTAATAACAGAGTAATCCGCTACTCAGCATACAAATTATTGAGAAAGTAATAGTAAGATAATTCTAAAAACGCTTGATTTTTCAGTCGTATATCAACGTTTCTCTTCTTGACAAATTTTCACTTTTACGTTGTTGCGTATGTATTTGACATTCAGATAATCGTAAACAAAAAGTTAAAAATTTTGTTACCTTTTAATCTGCAGCTTTACGTGGCTGTAATTAACCTGAAACATTCACTATAGTTTCTTTTACATTCACATACGATGATTAATATAACACGACACTAAAACTTAATGCTGTATGAAGCACGCCAGTTTTGTTTCTTATAAAGTAACAATGTCGGTGTATGATAGGAAACATCAGTGGTTGTATGTAATACTTAACATTTGCGAATAACATGAAATATTTATCCGTCGCATGACGCATAGTGAAACATGAAACTTTAATGTTTATGTATGAAATGAAGTACTAATGCTTGAATAAAACATGATGAATTCATGTTTTTTGGCATTGCATGTACAGTAAATATAATTTATTCTACAATACATTATACGACATGTTTTAAGAACGTTACAGTTGGGACATTTTCACCACAACTAGACTGAAAAAGAAATTTAATAAACGCTAAAAACCGTTTAAATGTGTCGTAAATACCATAAAAAAAAAGTGCAAAACAGACTTCTGTTTAAACAATGAAACAAGAAAATATCTCAGTTTATTTATTTTCATAACATTTCGTACTAACAAAACATTTATAACGTTGGCTCCGCCAGTAGTTTCTTTTATAATGTGGGCTCCGCCAGTAGTTTGTGTTATTACACATTTTTTGAAAGATGAGATGTGTGTTGCAGTTATATCATTTCAAGCGCTTAAAAACACTCTGTACAATTCTTCCTCTATTTACGATTGGTAACACGTCCGTTTTTCTCTCATGTTAAATGTGCCATACAATGTTTATAATGGGCCTATACCAAATCTCTGTAATGTAATTAAACTAGTTTTGATTCTTGGGAAATTTAACTTGTTCGATCAAGAAATTAATTCAGTAGCGTTCAGCCCATCCTAATTTTTTTTAAATTTTGGGGCTATTTTCACTTAACGGTTTTCCAACAATTTAAAATGTCAAATCTAGAGATGTTTGGAAACATTACTGGATGTCTATAAGAATTCAATAAAATCAACGGATTTGGTTGTTCCAGTTACTCGAAACATTTATTCTAACACGAGCTCATACAGCTGAAGAACACGTGGAGAATACAGAACTAGAATTTTCAAAGGTATTCCAGCATAATGCACGTGGAACAGTGCTACTGCCATGTAGGATTTACTACTATGATTTGTTGCCCTAGGAGGTTCTACATCATGCCAGGAATGTTGCCATAAATTGATGTTCATCAATCAGCCTGCCGTATGATGTGGACCCAATAAAAATCTTAGTTTGTGTATATATATTGGCAGGAGGGGATTTATTCCAAAAGTGTCGATTCTGCCGTACTGCCGCGTCTATTTGGGAACCGCCATTAGGCGTGGAACAGCAGCGACATGCCTAGCATGCGGGAACATTATCTCGTGCTCGCACAATAACCGTAAATTATGAAAGTTTAAGCCTTCAGAAATTGAATCAGGGTCGTTCTGCAACGCCAAAGAAACCGTACCACTGCGTACACTTTCGTTGAGCATCATCTCGTCATAGATTCTTATTAAGTAAAATCGACTATTATACATCCGTGGAATTAGTATTTTCGCATGTGAGGTCTAACATTACGCTAGGAGAGCGCACTTTTGTATACTGAAAAACACTTACCTTAAGAACATGATGATAGCCAAAGAAACGGATTTGTTTTTTTTCCAAGTAAGACAGTATGTATGTATATATATAAAACTATGCAATCTATTGAGATATATCCTAAGTTCAAATACATTACAACGTTTATTTTCAGAGATGCCATACAGCCACCACTACGGTACACTGATGAGAATCTTTTGATTGTTTTTTAAAAGAAAATGTTCATAATAATACAGTATTCTAATTAATGATATTAAGAATGAGAAAATTTCGGGATTGATGATTCGGAGCTATTTGTAATGTGTCTAAAGATAATAAATCTATTTACGTGAAAAGTTATTACAAGGATAAATAAACGTTATTACAATCATTATTTACTGTAGTTGTTTCAGTGGTCTAAGTAACCTTAGATTCTTCTATCATTATTGTTTATGATATATAAACAAAGCATTAACCCCTATGCATTTTATTGTGCACATGGCTCAACGACTGTTTTATATGCCGTGTTTTAAATGACTTAGCTACCTCATAGTCAAGCATGCGAGTCAATTTTAAAATTAATATGTTAAGAGGGTAATAATAACACGTAGAAGAAATGCGAACTTAATCCATGTAATCCATTTCAGATGAACTTAATCCATGTAATCCATTTCAGATGAACGTAATTCATGTAATCCAGTTCAGATGAACGTAATCCATGTAATCCGTTTCAGAAGTGCTAATGATGTGTCGACCTTTACACCTGGTCTTATATAGCATCATAAGTTGTTGGCTTCTGCGCATTGTCTCTTGTAAAAACAAAGATGGCGACGACCCGATGACCTTTATGGAAATTAATTCAGAATTAGAGAGCCACTTAGAAGTAACGAGTGTTAACTGGGTGGTCCTACTAAGAAAGGGGCTCCGTGGGCTGATGGGTGGTTGGGTGACTAGGACGATCTGGCTCACCTTCAAGCTATTCAGCGTATAAACATGTCAGAGAAAACTTGAAATTCTTGCATACATTGTTCAAAGGGGAGGATTACTTTTTCTACTGAAGTTTCTATTGGCAGGTTTCAGTTAACACGACCCACCCAAACTAAAAACTGATTTATTTGCAAAGTTTGATTTGTTCAACATTAATCCCTATTTTAAGATTATTTGGCGAGCACTAAAGCCAATGTACTTTTTTACGATCGCTAATAATTGTCGCTGAAATAAAAATAATAGGAATGTTTTGTACTTTATATATATATATATATATATCTGAAAACCAGTTTTATTTCGTTGACCTGAAATTACCAACAAACCTAAACGTATTATATGAGCATATATGTAGACCTGTACAAGCCAAAACGTGTCTCTGTGTTAGCGGACAATTAAAAGTCTCAGCAACTTTTTGAATTGGTCTCAGGTGTAATCACTTTAGCAAAGAAATTCCCACAGTTGCATAATCCCGCGTACAACTGAAACACATTAAATATTGCTATACTGTGTTTCTCCACTCTGGCACTTACTACTACTAGGTAACCTAATCAGTCGAATACTTTAGCCAATGGTTTCTTTTCCTAATGGAAAAGTGTTGTACAAATAAACATCTTAGTGCTGACTAACGTTGAAACTTTAGTTTCTCTCTAAAGTTGAGGAAAATGTATTCTTTTGAAACTCGATAAACACATAAGTCTAGCGAGCTTTGTTATGTAAGTACCAGTATTTGTGCTGGCAGGAAATATCCGATAAATCTTCGTGGTCACTTATGGATCAGACAGTTCTTATTTGAAGATATGTGTGAGGACGTTCAAGTTATTTCCATGCAAGAAATCCATGCCATTAAACCTAGACATTGCTGTCACATTTACATAAAGGACATTCTAGGGAAATTATATGGAAATTGTATCTTCTTTTAAAAGTAATGTAATCAGGGAAAGTTTTAAAGTGCACCACCAATAGATCCACAGCTGCTACCGAA